TGCAAGCAAGACCGAGAATACGGACTTGTATTGGGCCCTCAGCGGTGGTGGTGGGGGGTACATATGGTGTTGTGACCTCCATGACTGTCAAGGCGCACAAAGATGCCCCCATGACCGTCACACAGTATTCCTTCAGAACTACCACTGGTGATACCTCTATGGATAATTTCTACGACGCTCTCGACTTTCTCCACCAAATGGCTCCCGGGTACTTTGACCGCGGCGGCTATAGCGTCCATATCTACTCTAAGGGATCCTTATCTTTTGGCTTATTCTTCGGCCCCGAGTGGACCAAGGAAGCTACAGCTGCCTTTTTCCAACCATGGGTTGAGAGACTTGAGTCTCTTGGTTTGCAATACTCTCTCAACATCACCGAGTACCCCAGCTATTTTGCTGCCTATAGCTCCATGAACTATATCTCAACCATAGGAGCCTCACAGTCGGGTGGTCGCATAATCCCGAAAGACACTCTCCTCAACAAGCGGGCCCAATTCAATCAAGTTATCAAGAATATCGTTGAAGACGGAGCCTTCATGATCGAGGTCGTGGCTCACCCCACCTTGGAGGTTGCCGGGAATCCAGATAATGCCGTTCTCCCTGCTTGGCGTGATAATGCAATTACCCTTGTTCTCGCGGCGTTAGTATTTCATTTTCTTGATTTTTTTTTTTCAAAAAGAAACATCTGGAAACTAACGTGGATTTTTCTAGCCCTTTTAACGACACCGTAGAATGGTCTCAGATGCTCGAAGATCAAAAGACTATCACCAAGTGGGGCGGACTGTTGCGCGAGTTGGCTCCCGAATCGGGCGCCTATCTGAACGAAGCCGATGCTAACGAGCCCAACTTCCAACGCGAGTTCTACGGGGAAAACTATGCCAGACTCCTCTCCATCAAGAACAGGTACGATCCTACTGGCATATTCTATGCCCTTACGGCCGTGGGAAGTGATGCCTGGGCTCAAAGCCCCGATGGAAGACTCTGTAAAACCAATCCCTAGTAATAATTCCCTTACTGGAACCCCCTTTTCTTTCTGCATGTTAAAAATGTGGGGTCCGTCTCTTGCCCAATCTGCAATTTCGTACACCAATACAATCACACTACACTTTTCTCTGTAGCCCAGCGCAATGACGGTGATGGGGTGTTTAAGGGGGAATTTTGGGTGAATGATGGCAGAACGTGAGTTGGTGCTTCAGTCTAGGCTTACAAAAAAAAGAGGAGGATATATGGGTTTATGGTTTCAATAATTTGTATCAGGATGTCGTGATGTTAGCAGTCGAACTTGACCTAGTATTGTGATGCCGATAACATACTTGCGCTGCCGAGTTGAAGTCGGACACCCATACAGATGCCGGAACAGGCATGGCAGCATAGTAGTTTAGGGTGCGTCTGGCGGTCCGCGGGTTCAAAAAAAAAAAAATGCTAAACCGCACGCTACTGCGAAAACAGACCGTCGCAGCCCCAGCTGGTGGCAAGAAATCAAAAAAGTGCCGGACCTTACCAATAGAGGCAACTCCAGCGTTCTGGCACCGGGGTTCACTCGCTCAGGATCTTGCGGCATGTGTTCACTTCCGGAATCTGGTGGTGAGCTCGCGGTGTGATCCGTGAGTACAGTCACACCTCGCTATCCCGGATCTCGATAATCCGGATAGCTCGCTGTCCCGTATGAATCTCGGTGAACTCTGAAATTCTTTCCACAAAAACCTCACCCGCTGTCCCGGATCCCTCGCTGTACCGGACAAATTCCTCGGATTTTGGCCATCCGGGATAGCGAGGTGCGACTGTACTAGCAGACCGTCCTTGAAACCCGATTCTCAACCCTTTTCCCAAACTCGCAGTCCCTTCATCTTCCCCTCGACCCTTTGCTTTACAAACTTACCCAAGTCTCTGCACATACCGGTATTTCATGCTATCATGGCTATTGCTAACCCGGCTAACGGTATCCGGAAAGTTTATGGTAAGCTAACGTACGTTATAGCACCACACCATATCGTATGCTATGTAGACCTATAGTTCCGACCCCAGCGAGTGACCTTACATGATTACGCAAACAACTATAGTGTTGCGAGTAACCAACCAACTCGGAGGCTTGGGACCTTTTCTTCACAAAAGTCGTACACATCACGGAATCGGGAGGGAACCTCCGCTTCTGAAAACACCACCTATCGAGACGTTAAAACCGGGCCTTCGCCTCTTCGGGCCAATGTCACAGCTTCCACGCTAGGACTCTTATTCAAACACGCTCTCATCGCGCTCACTCACACATCTGCATAAGGTGGATGTCGAAGAAAGAGCCAAAAGTAGGTGTGGCAAGGGCGAGACACACAGGATCTAGGTTCTAGTAGAACTCAAACAATTTCTTAATCTTGATCACTAGGTTAGCAGGTCATCGTTAATCACAAGTCAGATGCTCCAAACCTCTTTTTTCTTTTTCTTTAATATTCTTTTCCTTGCTGCGTTGGCTGCTATTTCGGGGTGCGGCAGCGTTGCTGACATGGGATGGTAATACACTCTGGTACTGCATTCCCTCGACCTGAAGCAAGCATCGTATTTGACTGGGTGCACAACTAATATCTGTTCGTTTGCATGACTGAGGTGGGGCTCCGGGTCGACACCATTGCGACGTGTATTGGAAGAGGTTTGAGAGTTTGGGGGTTGTTGTGGGTTATATTAGGCCCTCCCTCCTTCAAAGCAGAGAGGATATCATACCTCCTCAATGTTTCGCTTTAGGAGGCCCTCCCAGTAGAGGAAACCATCTCTCCTCAATCCCACTTTCCCTCTAGAAGAGGGGTTCTGACGATGCGGGCTTCTTTCCTCTCTGCGCTTTTGGGCGTTTTCGCTTTATCCGATGTTGCACAAACCTCAGATGAATACCCGGAAGCCACGGGAGCTACCCCCTCTCACTCTAATTGCCGCTGTTTTCCTGGAGACCCTTGCTGGCCGTCAACACAGAAATGGGGCAAATTGAACGCTACAGTCTCTGGAAAATTGATCGCTACCGTTCCCCTCGGCACTCCTTGCCATGCACCCGATTACGATGCGGCCAGATGCCAGTATATCAAGGAAAATTGGCACTTTCCCGAACTCCAGTATGTGGACCCCCCCTATCTCTGCCCCGAGAACCCCCAATTGGTAGAGCCAAGTTACTGATCGACCATTGCAGCGACGAATCCTCGAGTTCAATTATGGCGCCATTCTACGCTAATAGGAGCTGCGATCCTTTCATGCCCGTTGACAGTCCATGTCAGATTGGTGCTTATGTTCGCTATGCCATCAATGTCACTGAGCCGGCGGATATTATTGCGGGTATCAAATTTGCCAAGAAGAATAATGTTCGCCTGGTCATCCGCAATACGGGTCATGAGTAAGCGTGGCTTTTTCTGTCTGGTTGGCTGATTGGATACGAGCTGATTGGGTTGTTTCATGTAGCTTTTTTGGTAAGTCCTCTGGACCTGGATCACTGTCTCTCTGGACCCACCACCTTAAGGATATCGAATACATCCCTGAATACAAATCGGAGGCCTATCATGGGCCAGCGCTCAAGGTTGGTGCCGGAGTCCAGGGTATCGAGGCGTTTACCGTTGCGGACAAGAACGGTGTCGTTGTTGTCGGAGGCGTGTGCTCTTCGATTGGTATTGCCGGTGGATACACTCAGGGTGGTGGCCATTCAATATTGATGGGCAAGTATGGTCTCGGGGCTGATCAGACCCTTGAGTTTGAGGTTGTGACTGGAGAGGGTAAACATGTCAATGCAAGCAAGACCGAGAATACGGACTTGTATTGGGCCCTCAGCGGTGGTGGTGGGGGTACATATGGTGTTGTCACCTCCATGACTGTCAAGGCGCACAAAGATGCCCCCATGACCGTCGCAAGTTATTCCTTTAGAACTAGCACCGATGGTGCTTCTATGGATAAATTCTACGACGCTCTCGACTTTCTCCACCAAATGGCCCCCGGGTACTTTGACCGCGGCGGCTACAGCGCCAATGTCTACTCTAAGGGATCCTTACCTTTTGGCGGATTCTTCGGCTCTGAGTGGACTAAGGAAGATACAGCTGCCTTGTTCCAACCATGGGTTGAGAGGCTCGAGTCTCTTGGTTTGCAATACTCTCTCAACATCACCGAGTACCCCAGCTATTTTTCTGCCTATAGCTCCATAAACGGTATCGCAACCATAGGAGCCTCACAGTTGGGTGGTCGCATCATCCCGAAAGACACTCTCCTCAACAAGCGGGCCCAATTCAATCAAGTTATCAAGAATATCGTTGAAGACGGAGCCTTCATGATCGAGGTCGTGGCTCACCCCACCTTGGAGGTTGCCGGGAATCCAGATAATGCCGTTCTCCCTGCTTGGCGTGATAATGCAATTACCCTTGTTCTCGCGGCGTTAGTATTTCATTTTCTTCAAATTTTTTTTTTCAAAAAGAAACATCTGGAAACTAACGTGGATTTTTCTAGCCCTTTTAACGACACCGTAGAATGGTCTCAGATGCTCGAAGATCAAAAGACTATCACCAAGTGGGGCGGACTGTTGCGCGAGTTGGCTCCCGAATCGGGCACCTATCTGAACGAAGCCGATGCTAACGAGCCCAACTTCCAACGCGAGTTCTACGGGGAAAACTATGCCAGACTCCTCTGTATCAAGAACAGGTACGATCCTACTGGCATATTCTATGCCCTTACGGCCGTGGGAAGTGATGCCTGGGCTCAAAGCCCCGATGGAAGACTCTGTAAAACCAATCCCTAGTAATAATTCCTTTACTGGAACCTCCTTTTCTTTCCGGGTGTTAAAAATGTGGGGTCCATCTCTTGCCCAATCTGCAACTTCGCACACCAATACAATCACACTACACTTTTCTCTGTAGCCCAGCGCAATGACGGTGATGGGGTGTTTAAGGGGGAATTTTGAGTGAGTGATGGCAGAACGTGAATTGATGCTTCACTCTAGGCTTACAAAAAAAAAGAGGATGGAGATATGGGTTTATGATGTCAATAATTGGTATCAGGATGTCGTGGTGTTAGCAGTCGAACTTGACCTAGTATTGTAGTGCCAATAACATACTCGTACTTGCGCTGCCGAGTTGAAGTTGGACACCCATACAGATGCCGGAACTAGCATGGTAGCATAGTAGTTTAGGGTGCGTCTGGCTGTCCGCGGGTTCAAAAAAAATGCTGAACCGCACGCTACTGCGAAAACAGACCGTTGCAGCCCCAGCTGGTGGCAAGAAATCACAAAACTGCCGGACCTTACCAATAGAGGCAACCCCAGCGTTCTGGCACCGGGGTTCACTCGCTCAGGATCTTGCGGCATGTGTTCACTTCCGGAATCTGATGGTGAGCTCGCAGTGTGATCCGTGAGTACTAGCAGACCATCCTTGAAACCCGATTCTCAACCCTTTTCCAAAACCCGCAGTCCCTTCATCTTCCCCCTCGACCCTTTGCTTTACAAACTTTCCCAAGTCTCTGCACATACCGGTATTTCATGCTATCATAGCTATTGCTGACCCGGCTAACGGTATCCGGAAAGATTATGGTAAGCTAACGTACGTTATAGCACCGCACCATATCGTATGCTATGTAAACCTATAGTTCTGACCCCAGTGAGTGACCTTACATGATTGCGCAAACTACTATAGTGTTGCGAGTAACCAACCAACTCGGATGCTTGAGACCTTTTCTTCACAAAAGTCGTACACATCACGGAATCGGGAGGGAACCTCCGCTTCTGAAAACACCACCTATCGAGACATTAAAACCGGGTCTTCGGCTCTTCGGGCCAATGTCACAGCTTCCACGTTAGGACTCTTATTCAAACACGCTCTCATCGCGCTCACTCACACATCTGCATAAGGTGGATGTCGAAGAAGGGGCCAAAAGTAGGTGTGGCAAGGGCGAGACACGTAGGATCTGAGTTCTAGTGGAACTCAAACAATTTCTTAATCTTGATCACCAGGTTAGCAGGTCATCGTTAATCACAAGTCAGATGCTCCAAACCTCTTTTTTCTTTTTCTTTAATATTCTTTTTCTTGCTGCGTTGGCTGCTATTTCGGGGTGCGGCAGCGTTGCTGACGCGGGACGGTACTGCACTCTGGTACTGAATTCTCTCGACCTGAAGCAAGCGTCGTCTTTGACTGCGTGCACACCTAATATTTGTTTGTTTGCATGACTGAGGCGGGGCTCCGGGTCGACACCATTGCGGCATGTATTGGAAGAGGGTTGGGGGTTGGGTTGTTGTGGGTTATATTATGCCCTCCCTCCTTCGGAGCAGAGAGGGTACCTCCTCAAGGTTTCGCCTTAGAAGGCCCTCCCAGTAGAGGAAACCATCTCTCCTCAATCTCACTTTCCCTCTAGAAGAGGGGTTCTGACGATGCGGACTTCTTTTGTCTCTGCTCTTTTGGGTGTTTTCGCTTTATCCGGTGCTGCACAAGCATCAGACGAATACCCGGAAGCCACGGGAGCTATCGCCTCCCAATATAATTGCCGCTGTTTTCCAGGGGACCCTTGCTGGCCGTCAATACAGAAATGGGGCGAATTGAACACCACAGTCTCTGGAAAATTGATCGCTACCGTTCCCCTCGGCACTCCTTGCCACGCACCCGATTACGATGCATCCAGATGCCAGTATATCAAGGAAAATTGGCACTCTCCTGAACTCCAGTATGTGGACCCCCCCCATCTCTGTCCTGAGAACCCCCAATTGGTAGAGCCAGGTTACTGATCGACCATTGCAGCGACGAATCCTCGAGTTCAATTATGGCGCCATTCTACGCTAATAGGAGCTGCGATCCTTTCATGCCCGTTGACAGTCCATGTCAGATTGGTGCTTATGTCCGCTATGCCATCAATGTCACTGAGCCGGCGGATATTATTGCGGGCATTGAATTTGCCAAGAAGAATAATGTTTGCCTGGTCATCCGCAATACGGGTCATGAGTAAGCGTGACTTTTTCTGTCTAATTAGCTAATTAGATACGAGCTAATTGCGTTGTTTCATGTAGCTTTCTTGGTAAGTCCTCTGGACCTGGATCACTGTCTCTCTGGACCCACCACCTTAAGGATATCGAATACATCACTGAATATAAATCGGAGGCCTATCATGGGCCGGCGCTCAAGGTTGGCGCCGGAGTCCAGGGTATCGAGGCTTATACCGTTGCGGACAAGAACGGTGTCGTTGTTCTCGGAGGCGTGTGCCCTTCGGTCGGGTTTGCCGGTGGATACACGCAGGGTGGCGGCGTTTCAATATTGACGGGCAAGTATGGTCTCTCGGCTGATCAGACCCTTGAGTTTGAGGTTGTGACCGGAGAGGGCAAACATGTCAATGCAAGCAAGACCGAGAATACGGACTTGTATTGGGCCCTCAGCGGTGGTGGTGGGGGTACATATGGTGTTGTCACCTCCATGACTGTCAAGGCGCACAAAGATGCCCCCATGACCGGCGCAAGTTATTCCTTCGGAACTAGCACTGATGGTGCTTCTATGGATAAATTCTACGACGCTCTCGACTTTCTCCACCAAATGGCCCCCGGGTACTTTGACCGCGGTGGGTACAGCTTCAATATCTACTCTAAGGGATCCTTATCTCTTGGGGTATTCTTCGGCCCCGAGTGGACCAAGGAAGATACAGCTATGTTTTTCCAACCATGGGCTGAGAGGCTTGAGTCTCTTGGTTTGCAATACTCTCTCAACATCACCGAGCACCCCAGCTATCTTGCTGCCTATAGCTCCACGGGCAATACCGTAGACATAGGAACCTCACAGTCTGGAGGTCGCATAATCCCGAAAGACACTCTCCTCAACAAGCGGACTCAATTCAATCAAGTTATCAAGAATGTCGTTGAAGATGGAGGCTCCATCCTCGAGATCGTGGTTCACCCTACCTTGGAGGTTGCCGGGAATCCAGATAATGCCGTTCTCCCTGCTTGGCGTGATAGCGCAATTTTCCTTATTACCACGACGTCAGTATTTCATTTTCTCGATTTTTCTTTTTTCTAAAAGAAACGTCTGGAAACTAACATGGATTTTCTAGCCCATGGAACGACACCGCAGAATGGTCTCAGATGCTCGAAGGTCAAAAGACCATCACCAAGTGGGGCGGACTGTTGCGCGAGTTAGCCCCCGAATCGGGCGCCTATCTGAACGAAGCCGATCCCAACGAGCCCAACTTCCAACGCGAGTTCTACGGGGAAAACTATGCCAGACTCCTCTCCATCAAGAACAG